CCAGCTACTAGAAACAAAGAGTCAAGGTTTAATATTCTCTGCTCCGGTAGGTGGGGGGGGGACCAGGCTAGCCAAAAAAAAAAAAGAGAGAGCGAAATGAGAAAACAAGTTGGAGTTCGTAAACCTCCAGATTGCTAGAGCGACAGTCACTGAATGCCGACATCAAGCATTGTCTGGCCGCTGTAATCATGAAAGTGCATGGGTTTCGACGCTAAGCAAGCCGGAACAACGTAATTCGTGGAGGCACAATGGCGTCACTTTCGCCATCCGGTTCAGCGCCGTCCACATTCCCAGGAACACGTGTTCGTTTGGACTTTTTTTTATTACTTGCTATCGGTGTCTCTCACACAACGCCCGTAATGAGGATTCAGCTCAACGGAAAATGACAGGATGTATTGGTCTGAGATTAACGGAAGAGATTCACTCCCGTCCGATAAAATCTGCAGTTTATTTACAAACAGGGCAAAAAATATTTCTGAATAGAATGAATAAATTAAAAGACATGTGTTCTCTGATTCAATATCCGAACATAAATAATCTGGAATTGGTAGATGAAAAACAACAGGCGAACCCTTTTCGTGTTCGTACATTTCTAATAATCAATTATTACTTCTCTGTGGATGTGTGACTCAACTGTTACCAACCACTGCGAATTCAAGCCAGCAACCTTCGAATATTTCGACACTACGCGGCTGCCAATGACTTCTGCATCAATAGAGTTGTTTGCTTGTGAACTAAAAGAAACATAAACACAGACTGAGCTAAGCAGTTTTCTATTGGCTTAGTTCAATAAAAGCCTGGCATTTAACAGGAAATTAAAGGGGTCTTGGCATCCCTTTGCAAGCTTCAGATTTAACCGGACATACACAACAGATCCCACTCGACGGACAATTTGTACAGTGGTTGAGGGCAGTACATGAAAAGAAATGGCAGACCCACGATGTTCACAGTTCGAAGTTAAACACAACTTTGAACGTCGACATGCGAACCGTAAAACACTCAACCCTGTATAAAAAAAAAAGATATCTCCAAATTACAACTGGGAATAAAGCTTCCAATCAACCACAGGCCAACGCGGCAATACTAAAGAACCACCATGCTATGCAAAGCGCCGCACTTGGTCGTTGCAGCTGCTCCTGCAATTAATGGTTTGGATTAGGACCCGATCCGTCAAATTTATGCGAGACTGTGCTACAGAGCATATCTCACTGAAGTTCATGATTCCTTGTTTCCGCTGCCTAGGGGTGTTGTCCATGTGATCACGCGCTATCATCTGCTGCAAGGCTTGGCCTGACAGTCTTATAAGCAAACAAAAACAACTGGATTTTTTTTTCACAAGCGGGGGGGGGGTTGATATTCACAACAGCTATTGAACAATGATGAATTTTCCAAAGGCTCTTTTAATTCAACTTCTTTTTTTTCCGAGGGAACATTTCGTGCCCGTAAAACGGTATCGAATATGGTGTTCTTTAGCTATTCTCCCGGGACTAATAAACACAACTGGGTAAGTGACAGTTCCCGAAACTTGGATCAGTGCGACACAGAAAGGCCATAAAAACGTTGAGCTGTTTCCGCAAGCCCTGTTCCGTGGCCCCTTCAAATCTCACCAGGCCTGTATATCTCCTTACCCCGTAGGCGACCCGCTGACCTTCAGCTCACGGCCCGCTTGAGTTGTTACATATGCACCTTCACCGCACACTCTGACCGCTCGTTTGTTTTTTAACGAATTCAGTAATTAAGCAGAGGATTGTACTTCATTTATAACGCCGGGCGGCTTGACGGTTAAGCGTCCAGTGCTAAACAGAGCCCAGAGTATGCTTCTATTTTTCAGAAAGAATGCCATTTCAAAAATTAACTTGCGAATACTGTTAACTGGAAATCCATCGTCGGACAGGAGTTGTGAACCCAAGGATAGGACATGTAGCTGTTAATGACTGAGTTTTCCATAAATGATACTGAATTCCTCATGGCCAATTCTTTTCAGTGCAACAAGACACACAGTGTCCACAAGAGTTCTGGTGCACAACATATTTTCACACTTTCAACTTGAATTGGTGGTCCAACATTGAGCATAATAAAAATGTTGTTATTGCAACCGTTCCTTGGCTTGACGTGTTTCAAACTGGTATCAATGCAGACTAGCCTTGTAGTATCCTGGCTGAAGCCATCCGCTTTGCTCTATATTCGCAAACAATGTATCTGTGACCGTACGAGGTCAAAGATGTCACATCGCCGATAATTTAAACGGTAGCACTTAAATGCTCCAATTATTGTAGGTGGAACAAAATCAGTAGGGATTTCGGAGTCCGCTGTGTTTTGGGGGAGGTCTTTTATAAATTGGTCCACAGTTTTGAATGGAATAAAAAAAAAAGAATCCCAAAATTGGAACATTTGTTACAGTTTGTCCCGCGTGCAATGTAAACGACGGGAACTGCCTTTTCGTCGAAGGGATTAAAATTCTCATTTGCCTATTGTTACATCTTCAGTGCTTCTTTCTGTTGATGATGATGATCTTGATGTCTATAAAACATGCAAATTATTCTCGCTCGAGTTTTCTTTATTATTGCTGGCAAGGAGGAGTTTTTGGTATGATATTAATAGTACAGTCTCTTTTTCACGTCTGCTCACACAGTTTGCGTTAGATTTTTAGTTACTACAATTCCTGTTTGTTGTTGAATTAGCTATTAGTGATCTCTTCCAAATTTTATTTCAGTTTTTTTTTGGTTTTTTTTTTATTTTCCTTCAGAATTTTTTTCTCTGTCTTACACTAATTTTGAGTATCGCATTAACTTGGGAAAAGATTCAAGATTTACCACAGAATGAAGTGAAATAGTAAATGAGACACTGCTTATTACTCAGTTCTTTGGAATTCGTCGTTGATTATTTTTAATAGTAGGCGTTGTCAAATGATATTAATCTGCACACTTGCAAATTCGCTGGGCGAAATAGAAAAAAGTTACTGGAATAACTTGGGATGTGAATGTTCGATTGGAACATTCACCACCCTGCAAATCAATGCGGGCAACGTTTGCGTGTGCAATGACTCGTGTGAACATGATGTACAACATCGCATGTTTTGGCCTGAGAGAAAAGACGCTTTCCGCGGTTGATCTTCCCTACTAATTGTTCGCCCAAGGATGTTGATCTGCCCGACCAATTATCAGATTATGAGCGACAATTTGTTGGAAAATTCGCCCTTATAGACACTCACATACTGGCGCTGCAGGAAGACCTATGTAATTATGTCATAGATACTGGCTGCTTTAAGTTTGGATCACATCTTGCACTGAAATAAGTAACAGGGATCACCCAGTCGAGCGCGAGCGTATTATGTATGAATCCTTCTTCTCTCAGTGGATTGCGTTACGCTTGGCGAAGCCTATTCGGCAGAAAATACACAAGGCCCTCGGGGATGAACCTTGATCTTTTGTAAACATCGCTGCAGATTTCCATTAACCATTGTTACAATATTCAATAGCAAATATGGGACATTTCAGGTTTGGATATTTCTACGTTGAGCAAGCCCAGGGCAGGTTTGTCGTTGGCAAAGCAGTCTAGATACGGCAACCTTAGGGCGATGGGTACCGTATTTGAAATCAACTGAGTGTCATGTTGCATATAAACACCACACAGCTGTAACATGCTACCACTACTCAGTAATGAAAAAACACTGCTTATTGGTTTACCTCTGAATGTTATGCTTTAGAATAGAATAGCTCGTTTCATCCGTTACATAAAACTGGAGCCCGTATTGTCTCACTCACCTTGAATTCCAAAGGTTTGCGAAGAATTTAAAGTGGATATCTCTGAAGATTTAGTTACCAACGTGCTTTAGCTCTTCGTGTAATTAGTTAGTTGGTAAGGCTGTATAGTCTTTCCTTTATTTTTTAATTTTTTTTTTTTTTGGGTTATACGGGAACAAAAGACAACGCCGAAGTTCCTTAGATATAATACTTTGAAAAAAAAGTCTTTGGGTTTTTTGAGAGAAACACAGCACTGTACAATGTTTACAGGTAGGCGTTTGGGTAGACAGTCGAGGCTTAGCAATGGAAAATTAAGCGCAGCTGATTGTTTTAAGAAATTGATATTATTTATAAATAAAGAAAGATAATGTTAAAGTAAATTTGTTACGCACCGTCCCAAGTAACGCGAAAGGCGTCATGCACTATTCAAGACGACTGCTTCCGAAGCATCTACGGGTCAACCCATAGGATGAACACGAATATTCCCGACCTTATTATGCTATAGTGCCTTCCAGACACATGTGTCTGACTGTGTAGAAACTTTTGATTATGATGCTGGAATCAATCATTTACGGTCAACCAACAAAAATGTTACACTTCTCAATTTAACTATGGAAAAATCACACGTGCAATCACATGATTAAAATCTTCGGTGGAGGCAACATTAACCACTGTCGACCAATGCGGCTTTGGTCTGGAATGCTTAAATAGATCTAACTGTTTCAACATGCGTCAACTTGTGTCATTTTTTAAGAGATATGCATCATTTTTTTTCGGTACATTCCATGTTTCGTCACTCCGTCAGGCTGACTTAAATAACTGCCGAGTATTTGAAGAGGCTTTTAACTGAACAATGCTGAGATTTCTGAATGGTGTATTTTGACACGGGTTGGATGGATGTATATCATACGTTCCACGCATGCAAGCTGAATACAGTCTGTACTTTGCACATTGCGTTGGTGATACTCATAGCAGCTGTCAGCTGGTGTCGTTAAGCAATATGAAATGTATGCATAGACAGATGTCATTTTACAATTATAAATTCTGATTGAAAAGCCTGCTAGCTTGCAAATTAAGTAGAAATAAATGATGTGGGTCGACGGAGAGAGTCCTAAAGGGCGAACAAACTGCATACCCTTTTCCAACTTTGACTCGGTCAACTGCTCTTTCAATTATAAATGGGACTAATAACAAGAAATGCTGACAGCATGTATACGTTTGGAAATGTTATAGGAAAAGTTAAGTATCTTGACTTACCTGCCGTGTTGGAATGGATTCTTCTCATCCAGGGGTAAATCTGCTCCGGTTGCCGAGCTGTTTGCGCCGCCTTCATTGCCGATTTGGCGCAGTCCCCGCTCAGGTTCTGACTGGTCATCTTGATGCAGGCCGCCGCTGCCGCCGCGGCCCCGGAAGATCCCGTCCCGTGCTGGCTCGGGCAGCGGTTGTACGCCGCCGAGGTGGTGGTGGCCGTCACGCCGGACACGGGCGAACTCTGCGGGTGCGTCAGCGGCACGGTGGGCTCCATGGACGGTGTCCGGTCCATGTGGTAGAAACTGCCCTCCAACTGCGACGCCCCGTAGCTGCTGTAACTGTAGTTAACCGGCGTGCTGTTGGCTGGGTAGTGGGGGGCCTGCCGGGAGTAACCCTGTACCGTTGCAGCCGATGGGTAATCCGACCCATGGTGGAAATCGGCCGTCGACAAAGAGTGTGTGAAGTATGAGCTCATTTGTCTCGTATCTGGGCTCAGAGCCGTTGATTTGTGACCCTTAGGATTTTATTGCCCTTGCTGTGCAGTGAACGGCTGTCTAGCTGTCCCGCCGAGTCAGCAGTGTTGCAAACTTCGATGATGAATAGAGCTTGGCACGGCCTGCCTTCTGTCAGGTCAATACCAGCTACCAAATAGGGAAAGAAGAGATATACCACGTGATTCAAACCAGCCAATCGCCCCCCAAACAGTTGCTTTTTCCACCCCTCACCTAAAAAACTGAGTAATGAGATAGGCCTATTGTCCCTGGTCACAAAAGCGCAGTGAATGGAGTTGTCATATTACAAAATGCACTCATAAATAACAGGCGCAGGCCAAGAGCGAATTACACTGTCACCCGTCCACAAGAAAGGTATAGCACCAGATCACAGACAGTATTCAAACCCAGACACGAATTCCACTCAGTTTTCCTCCCTGACTACGCTGGAGGATGGACCAATCAAAAAGCGTCACTTCGCGCATGACGAAATAGACAAACGTCGGATTTCTAAAGGGAGCTGAATTATTATTATCTTTATTCAAATGCAGTTTAGGAAAAGAGGTAGATACCAATAAAGGTTAGAAGCTTCCCATAGAGGTTACTCTACTTCATAAGGCATTTCATTGTTTCTTTTTCACAAATTCAAGAACTCTTTCCATGCATCATTTTGTGAAACACTCTGAGGCAACACCTTTACCCCCCAAAATCAAGCAACTTAAGTAACAAAAAATAGCAACAGCTATGATAATGACAGCCAACCGAAACATCACAGTAACTCGATCTAAACCGAAAACACAAACGACCAATACGTTTCTGAATACGTCATAGAGGCCTGATATTAGAGATAAACCCTTTGAGTTCTGTGTAACAGATTATCTACGTAGAGAGAAGGAAATACAGAATATGACAACGGAGGGCACTTTGTGATAGATATGCATCACTGTTACAGGCACATAATTATGCTAAGGTATGATATCATTTCTACAATATTGGTCATTTGTTTTCACTGCGCACGTGCTCATCACTATACGCAGCGTTGTTGGTAATGGAATAATTATTCCAAGCCTACGGTAAAGCCGCGCCGCTAGACCGTGACCAACGGGCTCTCCTGTCGGCCGGCCGGCAGCCGTGCGCCCGCTTCGCTTGCCTACGTCCGTCTCACAGATTTTTATACGTACATATGTGCCATTTATTCAAATGAACAAAATACTACTGTAGCCTCGAAATTCCCCTGGCAAATATCGGTATCAGTAGTGGCTCACAGGGGGTTGGGGAGAAAAGCATGCTCTTCGAAAGCACTGAACAACAGCTTCTGTGCATCAGTTGAAAGCAATAGTCCGTGGAATGTATTATGTCTTTGCTATCTGCCAGACACGGGGAGGGGATTGAGAAACATCTTTCGACCCCGGGACAAAAGAGCCAGTTCCGTCCCACCGATTTGGTACCTTCGAGTGAGCCATTTGTCGCGGGCCAGCGGTGCTCTTAAACTGGACTTTATCTCGGGATTGATCCAACAAGGCGTTTCCAAAACACGCTGTGAACAGCGTTGCTTGTCACTTACATAGTCATTACGCGTGTAATTTTGACATGCTTATTTATTTATTTATGTATTCATGAATGTAAACTGGACAAGCGTGGATGAATTTTGCACGAACCGTCAACGTAAATCCCATTTCTTCATTTGGAAATATTCAGTCAATTAATCAACTGACTTTCGGGGAGGATTACATAGGTTGTTGGAGCACTACCATTGGAATTGTCAGCAAAGGCTCCCTGAAGATTCAAGAATAGAGAGAGAGAAATACTATGAATTTGTTTGATCCTCTGTGATCGGTCAGTTATCCGAAAATCCACTGTGTACAGCTCCTAGCTCACGGCAACCATCTTGGAGGTGAGTGCTTCTATTCCAAGGCCGTGGATGGGCTGACTATGCATTCCTTGTCAATTAGACAACACCTTCATTCAAGAAAGGATCTATAAAGTTACTCATCCCACTTTGTGAAATTACATCCTCTTTCACCAACTCATTTACACTGGCCATGATAACACAAAGTAATTGGTGAGCCTGTCATCTGGCTTGTTAATCAGCAAATTACAATAATTATTGTTGGTGGGTTTTTTGTATTAGTTTTGTTAATTTTCCACCGGATACAAAATATTTCATTTCAGCGCTGTCCTGACCAAGTACTTTTTATTCCTTTATCGTATAACTTATTTTTTATTTATTATTTTATTCATCTATCGTATGCATTTATCGTAATAAAACATACTAGCAACTGCACACTCGGTGTCTCTATGCGCACTTTGAATTCGTTGGCGCTATCCGCCTCGGGCAGAAGCAAGCCCTCATTGGTTGAAAAGAGTTGCGTTGGTCAGGAGTGTTCGATTTGTTGGTCGCGACGCGTGCATTTTCTATTAGTTCGTGATCCAGTGAAATTCAATTCCTACCAAAGGAGCCTCGGCCTCCGCTGCTGAGAAAACAGCGCCCTCTTTTGGTCCAGCTCGAGGCCCATTGCAGGGGTTTGAATTTCTTATTTCATTCCAAGAAATATGGGATACATCCAGAAAATATTGCTCAAGCTGTTTCTACTCAATGAATACGTAGAACCACTGATTTATGAACGGGTTCCTTGGATCAATTTATCAATCTTTTTCATGTAAAAATTAGGTTATTTGTCGACTTGGGGGGGGTGTCAGCCCATTTTTACACGCGATCACTATCAACCCTTCTTTGTTCTAACTTTCTTAGTCATTTCACGGTAAATTTCACAGACGAGTTTGAAAAAAGCTATTGATGGAAAGATGTTTTATTTTAACCGCACCGCTGTCGATCTGAACTCAAATAGTGCATGTGCGCCCAATAGGTACCGACAGTGTTCTCTGGCAAGTCTCAGTAACAGCCAGTCTAGCACACTAACATCGGCTCGGGACAGTCGGGACCCAGCAACCTGCGAAAATCACCAGTCTCCGATTGCTGTCGATTTCGCTGTGAACTCTGTCTCCTGCAAGCTACCTACGTCAACACTTACACTTTTGGAAGTCAGAAAAATGTTTTTAATTTGAGCTACAATGACCTTAATGTGAACCTTACTTACATAAAACAGTAATCTTGTTTGATCTGCAAATACTTCTAATTAATCGTTCATTTATAAAACTGAACCACTAAATTGAACTTGAAAGTGGCAAAGAAGATATCAGTTAACATTTATGCCTTTCAATTTCTCAGAAGTATTTCAAGGTCGGCACAAATTAATGTCATTTATATCACGATGGGATATGCTTTTTTGGTTAGGGTGGGCTTAATCTAACCGTAGTGTGCTCTCAGTCATCGAAATGAAGAAAATCCACAAAATTCCATGTTGCTAGTATATTTTGCGCAAACTGTAGCGTTGGATGACATGTGTGATACCGATACGGCACTTTTAATCTCATAAAGATTTCTCGCAGACATACCCAACAAAAGTCCTGTACCAGATTTGACCAAAGAAACAGATTTTAGTTCACGCATTCTGGAGTCCAAATCGACCTAGTATCATTTATTGGCCAGACAGGATCACAGATTATAAAACTTAAGAAAGGAAAAACAAACGAACAAAAAATATCCAAAACAAAACAAGGTGAAAGGTAGTCCATTCGAAGGCTACAGCGTCTGGTCATGTTTCTAAAAAGTTAGATTTACGGTCAGATCTTAAGACCCAGAGAAAGACAATATCAAGCATGTTATCATAGACAAAACCTCTTTACCAGATACAATGTTTTCATGTTTGTTTTTTTATTTATAATTTGTAATTGGTAATTACAAAAGCACCTGCTTGTTGCAACATATATAAGAATACTTATGTTGAAGGACCAGACTGAAACAATAGGTGGCAACTAATGCGTAGATTTCTAGTACCGGTATATCTTTTAAGGCAACAGAGAAACTGGTTGCTTATCATACCGTTACCCTGAAGCTTGCGAGTTGACAACGCGCCACAAGCGACAGTGTTACTGTTACGCCTCTGAGTAATTGGCCATGCCCGGGGAGCGAGACAGCTGGGCAGCAGAGAGGTGGGGTTTTCACCCGTCGGCTTCGCCGCTCGGTCCGGCCTCCGTGACGCGGCGATATGGCGCGGGCACATCGCACCTCGTCATCAGTATCAAATCAAACTGAATCCGTAGGCACCAACAAGGGTAAGACGAGCCATGCTGTAAGGCTCGTCATCGGAGAATGGTGACATGACAACGTTGGGAGCCAACGAAGGGTTTTGAGCTCAATGCAAACAGTAGGCTACAGTTCAAACTCAATGCCATGGTAGCCTCGAAATACAATTTAGTGAAATCAGAAATCAAGCGCATGTTTGATCCAAAATGGGATGTCCACACTTTCTACAATTTCTGTCATTCGACGGATGAAGCATTCAATCCTATGTGAGAATATTTTTCTTCGCGGTACACACAATTAATGCCGAAAACGTTTACACTGAAACGAATTCGACATTGGTACAAAGGGTTGAATAGCCATTTAATTTGTACTTGGCTCTGGCATGTGTAATAAATGACAAGACTTTTAGTGTAGTTTGGATAACTAGCAAGATATTCATGTTAAAAATGCGTTCACGCGGCAGAACTTCAAAATTTCCGACGGAAACCTTCGTGACTACCAAAGTTATGCTTGAAACAATAAGAGAGTTTTGGCCTCCCTTCCTATTCCCGATGTACCGATTAAAGCAAAGCAAAACAAAGCAAAATTGTACCGAAAATAGGCTGAGAATTTATGGCAAAAACTTTCAGAGACACAAATAAATGGATCGGAACCAGACCACTGACACTAAAAGCCCTCTCTCCCTGACTCGAAAGGACTATGCTTTCCTCTTGTCATTGAAGCAAAAAAACTTTTCCAAAAGGGTATAGCTACCTCATGCTGATTTCAGCTCACTTCATAAACTCCCGGTGCAGCAGATAAATGGCAAGACGGAAGCGCAGCTCCAGGAGCGCCCTCCGCCCATTCATTTTAAGTGTGCTTTATTAAATAATTTTCCGTTGATTACGAGAAGGGTATGTTAGCGCGCTTTATTAGCCGTAACGACCGGCACTTTGGCGTATAATGGTCCTTAAACACAGGAAGTGTGTCAAGTTGTATTAGGCTAGGCCGATGCCGGCCGTCGTTCCCGCTCTTAAGCCTTTTAAAGAAGTTGCAATGGTGATGGACGGCCCGGCATTTTGAAGGGTATACGGTTTGTGGAAAATCCATAATGCCATTCATTACGGTATGGGCGAATTCACCACACGAGCTGAGGGGTGGAAATGGCGGGCCGTCGACACGCTCTCCGAAATAGTGCACCCGAGCTCCAAAGAAAGTCATTAAGCCATCATGCGGGTAGGGTCCGCATTAATTAAGTGCAAATCAAACCAAGATATTAGTAACATGCTTTGGCCATTTTCAACGTCAAAGTTTCTTAATAAAAACAGAAATATAAGGGGAATCTTTTGGTGCGTGGTAACTCAAGTTAAATCAGCACGATTAAGGACTGTACATTTGGATTGGGTCGAACAATTTTTTTCAATGGTCTTGATTATGGTCAAGTATGCTGTTGTTCTCATTTCCTTTCAAAATAAAGCCACAATTTTTCAATGTATCGATAAAATGGTTGAAAGCTTGATTTCAATTTTAAAAAAGGCTTTGTATACTTCAGATTTTTGAAAAGTTGTTGATTTCTTGTTTTTGAACAGTTTTTAACTGCTCGATATCCTTCAAACACAAAGGAATAAGTGTGGGTGGCGGAGTTTATCAAACCAATCTGCCAAAAATATTACGCCCAGATCACGTAAAGCCAAGCTTAATATGTCATCCTGGCTAGGTCGGTTGGGTCCATGGACGCCAAGACCGAAGCTAGTAATTAAAGGTTGGCCGGGCGAGGTGCAAACACGCCTGGCCGCGTCACGCGAGGCGTGTCGAGGGGAGCATAAATTCTCACCTTGGGCTGGGTTGGGGCGAAGGCTCCCGTACGCCGTCTGATCCCGGGGTCCCGTGGCCGCAAGGCTGGAGCTGGTTTATGGCCCGCAGGGGTTCCCGCGGTCCGAGTAGGGAGAAGTGGTGTTTGTCTAAGAGGACGGGTGGTCGGGAAGCAGACCCCAAAGCAGTACACGTCAGCGGTGCAAGGAAGTTGTCGTGCTACAGTCTATATCCAAAGAGTTGAGTGGTTGTCAGTTTGGAGATGAGATTCTACCCAAGTTGGTCCTGTGAGCGAGAGAGAGGGGGGAAAGAGACCTCAGCGGCTGTGGTGATCAGAATGCTAGGAATGAACTCGAAGAGCAAAAGACTATTGAGTATAGGGGCCCTCTAGCGTGCAACATTCCAACCAGCGGACAATTTTGTATGCGTGTCCATAAGTGATTCCTGAAGCTGCGGAAGCTTCCTATGCTAATATACACAGCTTGCAACAGTAACACACGACAACACTGTACCGTGGCCTAACCAGTCAGTAGGTAGGGTGGGACAATGGAAAAAAATGATGGGAACAAAGATGTCTGCCAACACCACCATCGGCGAAACCAAATGTACCAAGAAGTGTCACAAAAGGCCCAGATCCCGAAATATGAATCCTCTCGAAAAAAAAAACCCGCCAATGCCAAATAGACGTCAGAGAAGAAGGAGCCGATGAAATATTGCAGTCTTTTGTATTTGTTTTCAAAAGGTTTTTTCTTCATCCACGCGTGACGACCGCTCCCCTTTCACCCGGTTGCAGGTTCAAAAGAACCCGTTCATCATTAGTAGTGAATATGGAAAAATTCTGTGGCTTCAGTTGTGACTCTTTACAAAGAGACACAATATCAAACGCCCACGCAGGCCTACTCAAGTAAGATGACTTTTTTTGTACAGAAACATATGGTAGAAATATTATTACTCTTAATATTCGTACATCGTTTATCAACAAAATCGTTTGAATCAACTGATTACAACTGATGCTACAGGAGAAAGTTTGTCACTTTCATCATTTTATCACCACCACCAAACCCAAACATTCACCACCGATATCACAGAATCTCGAATTTTGACCCGACATCTCCACAACACCGCATCGCTTTCACCAAGGCACCACCAATTCACCACCGTCATGTCCGTCATCACCACAACACACACCATCACCATCATCACCAACACACACCATCTCAACATCACCAGCTACCGAACACCGCCGGCAACTCTGTCTCAATAGTCGTCACCACCACAGGCACCATCAATGCTTTTCACCTCAACACCACAAACACTTAAACACAACATGAATGCCAGTTCTCATCTAAAGAAGTCAACCCGCATGCACCCTCTAGGCCGTCCGAGTTAACTTTGTCCCCCCTAGTACATCCGATTTGTATTCAAACTGTACATGTTTCATCATCGTTGCTTCATCATCTGTCACCATCAGTCCACGAACAAATTCCAAGGGTTGCAAAGGGAGGAAACAAGGAGAAAAGTTATTTCCTGAAGGAGGATTGATATTCAGGGTCCTCTCCAGCTGGGTCATGGAAGTCTCGTCCAAGCATCTTGGAGTCGCGCCCCCTCCGTGTGACGGTCTCTCCCGGTCAAAATGAAATATTTATCGGGGAGTGTGAATTCGAAACACGCCGGGCAACGTCGAGCCCCCCGACTCTCCCCGCGGACTCCAAAAACAGCAGCTCATTAGATGTGTAAATTGCCTTTTCATGTAAATGGCACCCATTCGCAAGTCCCCGACCCCCCGAATTTGACATATTTGAAATTTTAAAGTCTGTGCATGGTTTCGCCAATAATTACTTGTGATCCCCGGAAGGCGGTGCGATGAATACACGATGCTCTGACGACGGTAACTCCATTTTTTTTTTAAATCTCGACTTGCAAAGTTTACTAACAGTGAAAAGAAGCAACTTGAATTTTTTTTTTATCAATATGTATTCAATGCAGGAATAAAACCCAATGCAGCATTTACCACTTTAGTCTGCTGGTGTTAGGCGATACGTCGAGCGCCATTTTTACTTATTTCGCTCTGGTATTGGTACTGACTTTCGAATTGACATGACTGACCGTTGTACAAGGGTGCTCGAAAAACTCTCCTTTCTATTCAATGTCACAGAAGTTGGGGGGTGAATTTACTGAGATCAATAGACTAAGGACAGTATATTCTTTTTGAATTAATAGCCTGGAGACCATTTGTCACCGTGTATATACACATTTAAGACTACAGCCTCGGCTTCAGTTCGTTAAATATAACTACAAACATAAGACCACTTCTATCCCACTTGACTGAACAATTTGACTTTTGAAATGTTCAAAAGTCTATTCATTGGGGAAAAAACGACACTATTTCAGTGATACTTGCCTCAAAAATTGTCGTCTGCAGGTTTCCGCTGTACAATTATTCACCGAAGTCGGGCTACACCACACATGGCTACATAAGAAAAGTAGCGGTATGCGGCTATTGTGCCGTGCTGGCCTCACGTCCAAAGAAATATAGCTCTAACTCACCAATTGACAAAATTAAGTTATTAGGCCATCTGTGTCGACAGTTCACGACCTGGGCAATTCAGGATCCTGCGAGCGAGGAATACGCCCGCGATGAAGTCACATCGGTGGCGCAGAATATAGCCCGCAATGTGTGGCCGCATAACAAGATGTACTTGTGCGAGGAAGGATTTATGTCGGAGGGCGGGAACGGGTGAGAAAAGATTCATAGAAATTGAAGTGACTTTTTTCCCCCTTGTCCCTTTCGAACTTGGTGTATATTTTATTTCACGTCTGTTTTGGTGCCATCAGAGAACTGGGGCTGACGTCGCCGAGCCGAATGTGCGAAAAAGGCGAAACACGCGCGTCAATTTGTGCCGGTTCGGTCGATGATAGAAACAGCTGAAGGGCTAGAGCTTTGAAATGCATGGGAAAACCAGGTTTATAGATGAGACATCTGATGGATCTTAAAAACAAAGCCAAAAGAAATTCAGGTTGTGTTAAAAAAAATCCTGGTGTCCATGTACATGTATGTGCCAGTTCAGTCGGTTGAGAAGCCACTTTTTGCTATCACCTACTAAGAAAGAAACGATTTGTCACAGAAAATGACTGCCTCAATCTGCATAAGAAGAATAGGGGTACAAGCAGCTGACATTTTGACCATCGTTGGCAGAAAGTCAATTCATGCCTGCTTTCCCATCGAACATAGCTCAAAGAGGGAGTACTGTCTTATCTTTACTTGGATGTTCCCCGCATCACCATAAAATGCACTCAAATACGTACCATGTTGAACGTGTTGGAATGAAGTGTCTAAAACATTATTTGCCACTCACTTTAATAAACAGAACATAAAATACATTGAGGTACTCTGCAGTTAGCATGTATGCTTTTTGGTATGTCCAACGTTTTGAAGTGCTCCCAAGGAATTTTACTTCAAACGGAGAGAGGCACATCTTTAGTCTCGTCTTCCCCTGCTATTCTTATAGTCACCCAAAACTTCATATTTGTGAGAAACAAACAAGAGAATGAACAAAAAAAGGAAACAACAACAACGAACAGCGATGAAATTTCGAAAGTTGCTGTATTCAGCTTGTTATTGACACCAATAATATTTTATTGCCCTGAGTACGAGTGAAAAATATCTGTATTTGTGTCCATCGACTGATAACGCGTAAAGCACACACTTCGATTTTTGGTATTGCCTAAAATGGGTGGATCCAAGGTTGAAAACGGAAGACTTTAATTTCTAGGTAAAAACAGCCAAAAGTTAACAAAAAAATTAAGACGCCTCATTTTCTTTCAAGAGGACTATGCAAAAATAAGTGGGAAGACCGACATAATGGCACACATGATCACAGACAAACATGGTAAGTGTTGACAATCTCAGAAATGGCCTTTCCTTTAAAATACCAATTATATCGTATAATGACATGGCGGCGACCTATACAAAGTGGCACCTTGCCCATTCCCGCCTCTTTTTTTTTTTTTTCCTTCTCTCCCTCTTCCCCCTGCAGATCTCGATAGATCAATGTCTGTGACTCACCACAGCGGCGAACGGGAATGAATAATGTCGTTTGGGAGTAACCCGCCAACTACTTGCTTATTTTTCGTCCCAGACACCAAGCCAGTAAACTAAGCGCCCATTGGCCTTCTTACATCATGCATTAGCTGGCTGATTAGAGGGGTGAGCAGTGATAAATGTTCCCGCTCATCTCCTTATAAATAATAACTTCGGAGTTTTTTCTCTCCCCTTCTCCCATCCCAAGCTGCGATATGAGAGAGCATCCAGGGTGCTCACTGTAGCGGGACTAACTGCCCATTGTTGGCATGCATACGCGAGCCGGCCGAGGTTCAACCATGCATGTCCAGCGAGCCGATGGAACACGGTACATCCAGAATGTCACGCTTCCGCAGCTCAGGCTAATTTCTCGCTAAAATAAACCTCTTCAACCAAGACACGCATTTGCATAATAAGCTTACTTTACCAGCGCTGAAGACGTTTCATTTGTTTGTTTCCTTTGGGTTGTTTGTGTTTGTTGTTTTTTTTAAAGACAACATTTTCAAATATGGAATATCTTTTATCTTCGACTTCTTGACGTCAGTGAAAAGTCAGTGAATTAGATCAGATTGAGGTAAGATTTTGTAAAGAGTATCATATTACCTTTCAAAAACAACTTGGATAATTTCTTGCTTACATTTTCTGCCAAATAAAAAAAAATAAAAGAGAAAAGTTACATTTAAATTATTTCATACTTCGGTGGAAGATCAGCAGACTTGCCTTAATGCTTTCCAATTTTAATTTAACCAAGCCAACGTTTGGACACCATGACACAGACCTACCGTGTGAGTTTAAAATGGGTGATTTCACACGTATTAGAAAACCACTTCACTGCACATTTTTGCCTGCCAAAATGAGACAGTCGGCCAACATGGTGGCGCTAAGCACGCAAGTGAAAGGCTTGGATAGAGACAGGGAACCAGAGGAGGTTGCTTCGTGTTTTGCCTCCAGAGTGCACTTGCTAAGAGGTCAAGTCAGTGGGTGGTTGTTTCCTTCATCGCCTGCTCCTATTGAGGCTAACCTCCGCCTTGTCGAGGAGTAAATCACAAACCAGACACCGCAGCTAGCTCGCCCTGCCGACACACTCTGTCGTTTGACTGTCCCTTCCCCCCTCCACCGGCCAGCCTCTCCCCTGTTGGCATCGACGGCCATTCTGTGGAAGGCCTCAAATTTGGACAATAGAAGGGGGAGTATGATACTACAG